TACCTGGTGATTCACTGACTACAGACCTCATGCAACTCAAATACTGCTATAGGCTCTTTCAATGACTGAATCTAACAGGCAGCCATAGGTGGAGGCAGGCAAAGGCAGGTCCCAGTGTGTCTTGGGACTTTTGCAGACCTTCTCCTGGGCCTGTACTGGAAAAAACAAGCCTTAGCGTGCAGCTTGGTACTTCCGGTGATATCACCGCCTCAAAGACATATCTGCACTCACATGTTCATTGCAATATTACTCACAATAGCCAAGACATGGAAACGACCTACGGGTTCATTGACAGATGAGTGGATAAAGAAAATGTGGTGTATATATACAATGAAATATTACTTAGCATGACAAAAAAAGAAAATCCTGACATTTGCAACAACATGTGTGAACCTTAAGGGCATTACACTAAATGAAATGTCAGACATAGAAAGACAAATACTGTATGATCTCACTTATATATGGAATCTAAAAGTCAAACCTTTAAAAACAGAGAGTAGAATGGTGGTTGCCAGAACTAAGGGGTGAGGGAAATGGGAAAATGTTAGTCAAAGGCTACAAACTTCCAGTTATAAGATAAATTAATCCTGGGGATCTAATATACAGCCTGATGACTATCTAATCTAATAAAAGAGATTAAGGTATACAACATGATGATTTGATACAATTTGTGCAAATTGACCACACCTCTGCTATGTCCCAAGCCACGCCCATCAGCCCATCAGAGCGACTATATGCAAATTAACCCAACCAAGATGGCGGCCGGCAGCCATGGAGCCGGAGCAAGCAGGAGGCTTGGTTGCCCCGGCGATGGAGAAAGCCAAGCTTCCTGCCTTCCCTGGCCGGCTGTGGCCTCCGCTCAAGGCAACAAAGTTTCAATTATAGAAGATAAATAAATCCCAGATACCTGCTTCCAGCCAGCCTCCACTGGGAGTTTGGATGGCTGGGAGCCATGGCCAGCCTGCAACCAGCCATCAGCTCCTCACCCAGGATGGCCACACCCTCATGTGGTGAAGGTAACTGCTGGGGGGCTTGGCCAGCCTGCAAACAGCCATCAGCCACTCACCCAGACTGGCTAGGCACCCCAGAAGGACCCCCCCACCCTGAAGGGGGTATGGCCAGCCTGAAAATGGCCCTCAGCCCCTCACCCAGGCTGACCAGGCACCCCAGTGGGGACCCCCACACTGAAAGGGCTGTGGCCAGCCTGCAAACAGCCATCAGTCCCTCACCCAGGCTGGCCAGGCACCCCAGCAGGACCCCCACCCTGATCCGGGACACCCTTCAGAGCAAACCAGCCAGCCCCCACCCATGTACCAGGCCTCTATGCTATATAATAAAAGGGTACTGTGCAAATTGACCCTAACAGCAGAACAACTGGGAATGACTGGTCACTATGACACACGCTGACCTCCAGGGGGCAGATGCTCAATGCAGGAGCTGCCCCCTGGTGGTCAGTGTGCTCCCACAGGGGGAACTCTGCTCAGCCACAAGCCAGGCTGATGGATGCCAATACAGCGGTGGTGGTGGGAGCCTCTCCCGCTTCCTCAACAGCGCTAAGGATGTCCGAATGCAGCTTAAGCTTGCTTCCCGCTGGCAAGTAGACATCCCCTGCGGGCTCCCAGGCTGCCAGAGGGATGTCTGACTGCCAGCTTAGGCCCAATCCCCCGGGGAGCAGGCCTAAGCCAGCAGGTGGTCATCCCCCAAGGAGTCCCAGACTGTGAGAGGGCACAGGCTGGGCTGAGGGACCCTCCTCCCCCCCACCCAGTGCACAAGTTTTTGTGCACTGGGCCTCTAGTAGTTAATAACACTGTATCTATACTTGAAAGTTGCTTAGAAAGTAGATCTTAAAATATCTCACAACACACCAAAAAATGCTAATTATGTGAAGTGGTGGATATGTTAACTAACCTTATTGTGGTAATCATCTTGCAATATATATGTGTATCAAATCATCATGTTGTATACCTTAATCTTATACAAATGTTATATGTCAATTATATCTCAATAACTGAAAACTTAAATAAAATACATAAATAAACAGAACTACTAGATGCTTATGTAATCAAAAAAAATCTCAGTAAATATTTAGGGAGAATGGGATAGACTACTAAGTGTGGAAATAGAGGTGAACTTTCAAAAAATTTTAAATAAAGTATTACTCAGCATCTATTGAATATGTATGTCTGTTTCATGCAGTGTTAGGCACTGAAAATACAGTAGAAAAAAGACAGGTCCTTACCCTCAGGGAGCTCACATCGGGAGAGCAGACAGCTGAGCACCCAGTACAATGTGACAAGAGCTTTGAAGGGGGCAGGACTGAGAAGAATACAGAGGAGAGGCTCCTAAACCAGCCTGGAGTGTCAGAGGAAGCTTTGCAGAGGAGACAAGATCTGAGCTGAGTGCAGACGGACAGCTAGGAGTTATCACCTCAAAGCAAACATAAACGTAGCCATGCAGTAATAAATGTCTCAAGAGGAATGTAGAAAGAGCATTTCAAATATTCCAAGGATTCAGGACATCCTCTCTCCCTGGAAAAGCCAGAGAGGAAGAACACCAGAGGGCAGTGGTGTGATGGGATTGCACAAAGCCAGGGAGGCCTTGAGGTGTCCTGACAGACACTGCAAATCTCATAAAATTTGACAACAAATAGGCCCTCGGTTGTGCATTGGAGATGGGGGTGGGGAGAACAAGGCAGCATTACACACTGAAACCCTCAGCAATGCCCACGGTCTTTAACCTAATTCACCCTTTAGAAGTTGATCCTGAGTGAAGATCTGCATACGTGGATATTTATAATGGCATTATTTTCAAATGGTGAAGAACTGGAAACAAGCCAAGTAATGGTTAGATGAACTGTGGCTCAGTAAAATAGCAGGTGGCCCACAATCATGCTCTTGGACAGCATTTAATGATTTTTTAAAAGGCTCAGAATATAATTTTAAGTGCAAAAAAAGGGATACAAAGTTACATATATAGGATGATTCATATTTTATTAAAATGTATGCATGTGTGTGTGCAAAGAAAAAAGACTGGAAGGGGAACATTGAAATATCAGTAGTGGCTGAATTACAGGAGGTTTTTGTTTTATTCTTTAAGCTTTTTTTCTATATTCCAAATTTTAATACTATGTATGCCCTTATCAGAGAAAAATAGTAAACATTATGAAAGAAAATGTTAACAGAAGCTATCTCTAGAAGATAAGGTCAAAGTTGATTTTTTTTTTTTAATATTCTTCTATGCTTTTCAAAATATTTTTCCCAATTTCATACTGTGGCTGTGTATGGCTCTTTAAAAGAAACTATTGGAGAGCTTTTTTTTTTTTTTTTTTTTTTTTTTTTTTTTTTTACTAGGAACCCAGAATGCTTAGGGAACAGGCTGCTATTTTAAGGGATTGGTGATTAAGTCACCTGCTGGGAACAGGTGTCAGCTTAGCAGAGAATGACAAGGTGGCTTCCTCCCCTCCCCCCAGGACCTGAGGACCTCCTATTGCTCTCCCACCTTTTCTGCTCCATGTACCTACCTTTGAGAATGGGAAGTTAGCGGGGCTTTTGACCTTGATCTGTAATCTGCAGCTTTAACTCTGTTATGGCTTTTCTCTGGAACCTGGCATTAAGAAGGTTTGCAGGTGGGAAGGCAGGCCAGCCCATTAAGCTTAGCAGATAACTCCCCGGAGTGCTGGGAGAGGGTAGTCTACATAATAAAGGGAGTTGTCTAAAATAAGTACTCAAATCCCTTTGTGTAAAGGTCTTTTTTATCTCCTCCCCCTTCTTCATTTTTTGCACCAAGTTAATTAACAATTTTCCAGCAAGCACATTCCTGACAGGTATTTGAAGCCTGGGTCACTTCCCTTATCTTCCCTTTCCTTCTGTGTATTATGGGGCTCCACGGAGCTTGAAAAGCATCCTCTTGTTGGAGGAGGCAGAAGCAACACTCAGAGTCATCGTCCCTTGGTCTTTATCATCTGCAAACACTGCACTAAATTTCCCAAACCGCAGGCCTACACCTTCCGTGTTGTTCTTGCTCCAAACACAGCTTTTAAAAAAACTCTTTTGCTCACCTTTAGCGTTTTTCTTTTCTTTCCCACAAGCTTTGGCTTGTTCTGAGCCTTTGACACTGTTCTGGCGGATATGACAGGCCTGGGCCAGCCACTGGTTTCTATTGCATCCCATCTCTATGGGATTATGTTTACCTCACTGTGTGAAAAGGTTAAATACATTTTGGTGGTTTCCCGAATTCTGCACCATACTGAATAGCTCTCAAAGCCTCTGGACATTTCTTAACCCATTTCCTGGATACTTCCACCTGAAAATTTCTCTGGTTTCATATTCCTTTTGTTATGTGGTTATCCTTCATGATTCCTGGTTTTGTGAGATGGTTGTTTTTTGTTGTTGTTTTTTCCAGACCAATTTTTCCTCATTCTTTCTGATTTGGGGTGGAATCTTTCAATTGGGTAGGTGTTTCCGGTCAAACAGGTCTTCCCAGATTTAGCGCAAAGCACTTGGCAATCTCTGCCAGAGTACTGGTATCAAAAGCCACAATCTAGAAAACCGAAGCTGCTAGCTAACAGCAGGAGCGGCCAACACTTCCATTTTCATTTCTCATTATTCTTCACAAGCGGCAACCTTTGAACTGTCCGTGGCCTCTGACCCCCTCTACTCTAGCCTTCTTTGTTTTTTAGAAGGACTCTCAAAGCCCATAAAGATACCTACGACAGGTGCTTCTACTTCCAATGCTCACACCTCCCTATGTAAATCTGTAGCTGGGAATATTGATCAGTGGCATCTGTACATACTGGTAGGTGTCAGCCACTTCCTGCTTGCCTGCCCGCTCCAATCCAGCAGGACAGCTTGCCCTTGCTCCCTCAGTCAGGGAGTTGATCAAAAAACACTTGTGACTCACCTCTTCCTCGCTGGGTGGGAACAGCCTTGCTGGCTCCTGCTCCTGCTCCAACCAGGGCCCTTCAAGGCAATGCTTTCTGACTGTTGGTGAGTGTAGGGCGCTGCTGGGGAGGAGCGCAAGGCTGCCTCCTTGGCCCCGGGTAGAGGTGGTTCTCTTCCACCAGGCCCTCCACTGGATACCGCTTTCCTCTCAAGCTTCTTGATATTGGCTTAACCCCACTCCACTCTTCGAAAGGCTTTCTTTCTGTTCCTGCCTGGCGTGGGTCTCCCCACTGCCTAGGGCCCCTTTCTTTCCTGCAGGGTTGAGGGAGGCCCCCTTCAAGCCTTTCACCTGCTCTGTGAGCAGGGAGCACCCACTGTGCTTGCTGCATGCACTGCTTGCTTAGCAGGGAAGCTAAAGATGGTTCATTCTGCAACAATTCTCTCTCAGCTTTCAGACTCCCTGGGTGGAGAGTCCTTTCGGGCGCTCCCTGAAAAAACATGCTTGCTCACCAGTTGGTTCCCAAGACAGCCCATTTATAGTTCCCTTAAGAAAACAGCTCTTGGATTAGCTTAATCAGTGCAACTCAGCCGCCTCTCACTGTTAATAATAATTAACTCAAGCAAGTTCTCCATTTTAAATGTTTAAGAAGCAGCAAAATCAAATCACACGGGGACAGCATACACACAGGTCATTATTTTCCTCGCATTTCTTCCCACGCCTGCCCATTCGCTGGGTCTCCTGTAACCAAGCACTCAACAGGGGGTTTAGAAATGCTCCCACCCTTGCCTAACCCATGTCTTCCTTTTCCTTCAAGGCCTTCAAGCTTCATCTCTACAGCTACAGAATTGTGGATACCGAAGGAACCTTGAAGACAATCTCATCAGTCTAATTTTTCTATCTGTAGCAGGTACAAATTTTCACTTACAGACTCCAATGTGAACAATGGGACTGTATTATATATAACTAACCTTAGTTCTTAAGTTTTCATTTCTGCTTAATCTTTCCAACTCAGTCACTTTCAGGGTTTTTTTCTCTCAGGTCCTTTTGCGTTAATACTCAACCCGCTTAGGAATCGCTCTCTGTTCTCCTCCCCCCGCCCCAACCATAATGACAGTTCAGGTGGGATGTGAGGTGCAGAGTATACCCCATTCTGGCAACAGGAATGAGGAAATGGAGTGTCCTTTGGGCCCACAATCCTCTCTCCAGGCTATTTTCTGCCCAGATACCCAGCTTCTTGCTAGATCCTTATTGCCAAACACTGGTGTCCACTACTGTTACCAAGGGTCCTGCAAGGCCTGGAGTCAAATGGCTGCATTCTCCTTACCTAGGGATGCCAGGTTTAGCAAACAAGACCATAGGATTCCCAGTTAAATGTGAATTTCAGATAGACAACAAGTTATTTTTTTTTTAATCTAACCAATCCCCTGCCCTATCTCAGTACTTTCTCATGAAAGTGGAAGTGGAGGATCAAGATGTCCAGACCTCCCCCTGGAGACAGGCCCTGACACAGCTCATCCCTCCTGCTATGTGCATGGAAGGGGAAAACCAGAGAGGAAGCCACTCTTGTTTATGACATTTAAACCCAGGGTGACTTCCTCCTCCCTGGGAAGAAAGGACCCAGTCTACACCCTGGATTCCAGCCTGATTAAGTCTCTTTCATGTTTCATATGTTCAGAGTTTCAATTTGGGATGATGAAAAAGTTCTAGAGATGGGTAGTGGTGATGGCTGTCCAACAGTGAAAACCTACTTAATGCCACTGAATTACACACTTAAAATAGTTCAAGTGGCAATATTTTATGTTATGTATATTTTATCACAACTTTTTTTTTAAGTCCTTCTTCATGGAAGGATGGGACATAGGGAAAAGACAAAGACCACCTTCCTAAATTATAGGTTAAAAAGTTGGGATGCATTCACCCTCCGCCTCTGCCCTAGGCCCAGACCTGGAACTGGGGGAGGGTCAGCTTCCCTTGAGCAATAGGCTACGGGGGAGTGAGTGGTAAAGAAGAGTTGGGTACCTAAATCCAAGTGGGCCTGTTGGGAAGGGTGAATGGGGAAATGGGTAAGCAATGCAGCATCCAGTCACTGGGGCTGGGTAGAGTAGACTGCACTGTCTGGGCTTACTGGGTGTTCTCAAGGCCCTCAGGAGGAGAGAAGCTGAGAGGCAGAAGCCACGTAGTCCATAATGTGACACTTCTCATTACTACACTCCCTCAATTCCCCAACTCCCTGCAAAAATAGAAGTCTTGGGTAAATTCTATTCAAGTAATCGAGGTAAGCTCTTCGTAGCTGAATCCCTGGGTGCTCTAGGCCCTGCTCATTGTACCTATCCCTAGCCCAGCCTGTTTTGCTCGAGGATCCCTGGTGGTCCCCCATGACACTCCCTGCAGGAGTGGTATCTTCCGTGTCCTCAAACAAGGACACCTATAGTAAAAAGTAAGTCCTTTTTAACTCTAGTAATTTAGACTTGCAGTTGGATTGACTGGATATTTACTAAACAATTAGAATGAGGCATGTGACAAAATTATATGGATTTGGGAGAAACTAAAAATGAATGTAGGAAACCAAAATGTTATGACCTCCTAAGAAGCAGTAGAATAAACTAGCAAATGAAAGTAGGATTTAGTATAGAGTGTTCCTTCAGGTCTGTGAGCCCACAATGAAAGACGTTTTATAAGAAGTTTTGAAAAGCCAGAGAAAATTGTACAAGTGCATCTAATCCAACAGAGATTCTTTCTAAAATAAGAAGTGGGAACTGTGGCTTCCCTAGCGGGAGGATGGAACCTTTCTAATAATATTTGAGTTTAAGTTCACAGGTGCAGAAATGGAAGGAGGTCTGGATAAGGTAGTTAATACTGTGCAACATACATGCTGTGCAACATACGAAACAGATGTGAGGTAACATTTGTCTAAAAAATGTGTGCCTTAACCTCTCCACTAAATATACCACACATCATTAGAATAATTTTTTTAATGTTTAAAGATTTCATAATTTTTGAAGAATGGGTCTATGACATAGTGATGTTCACTTATTTGTTTGGCAAAGTATGTTAATTACTTATTCAACAAACATTTCTAAGCATCTACATGTACCAGAAATTGTCTTATATAAATACGGTATTTCAAATATTTAAGAACCATTTGTGAAAAATGTCTTTCACAAAAGCAAGAATGTTTTTTTCCACCCACACTCTTTAAATATGCTCACCGTGATTAGTTTTACCTGCTTGTTTTCTAATTATTTACTGAAAAATTGGACATCGCAATGTTTCTAAATTAATTTCAAGGTTTGTGGCAAAATTCCAGCTTTTACAGACATCAAAGCAACAGCTCAGAGCAATTATAAAATAAAAATTAAATACATTAACTGAAGAAAAGCATGTGACAATTTTTAATTGAGTGTTCTTGCTCATTATTAAATATCAGAGGATAAATAATATTAATTCTCATATCAGTCACTTTTACTTATGAAAAAAGTATTCTGATAATCTTCAGTTCTACATATTGATCAATTTCATAAGCTGCTGTTTTATCATATTACTTGCATTAAGAATTTCTTTACAAACAATGTAAACCAATTTCCATGTGCTATCTGATCTGTACGTATAAATAAAAATTTGCTACATTTTATTGTGCTTTGTAACCTTTCATAAATTGAATTTTTTATTTTCAAATTTAATCAATTCAAACTATTTATGACTATAATTATGTTGAGTAAGAAAGTGATCGAAGTTAAGATTTTGAAAAGCTGGCCATAAACATAAATTGAGCAACATTAATTTTAAATGGAACTTTTCCATCATGGATTTTATTATTCAGCCATTTGAATAGTACAGATAGAAATTATCCATGGTGAGCATAATCATTTTCATTTAATTAGATTTAACTTTTGGCTGACAACTGTGGGGGAATGGGGCTGGGAGGAGGGAGATTGAGCAGAAAATTTTAAAAAACTCATGGACATGGACAACACGACCTTTGTCAATACACAATAGCCACTCCTGTTTAAATATAATACACCTATTAAAAAATACTATTCTCTGGATGAGAGAATCTTAATGCAATGTCAAGCCAAGGAAAACAGTGTGGAATATTTGATGCATGAAATATGGGTGGATACTTGCAATCAAAATAAAACTGTGCTTATTGGGTTCCTGTTGCCAAATAGTTTCACTGCTACACCTCCAGCTTTAAATGTAGTTCTGGAACTATCCCACTGGCGTCTGGGAGTGCAATCTGGCAGGAATCAGAACACAGGGAGCAAGAGTTCCACCTCAGTATCTTGGAGGAGAGAAAATTGCAATGTGATGGAGGCTTTGGTGGGATTACTTAAGGATTCAGTTTTATCCTCATTTTGACATGTGGTTAGTAAGTGATGAAAGGGGATCAGCAAAGATCTATTGGATATGAAAGGTCTGTGCACGTTCCACGATACAGTGCCTTCCCTGTGTGATCAAGAATTCAGTCCAGTTAACAGGCAACACGGGTTTGGGGTCCATTCATCCTAGGTGCCCATTCTCAAGGATCCTAGACCCAATTTGGAAAGTGCATATAGAAAACTTTCATTTTCATCTTTCCCCTTTAATATATACCTCCTGCTCTCCATATCTTTCAGACCATCCTCCTGTGCCCTATTCCTTTGATTAGTTCTAATTCACTTGGAAGGCCAACCTTTCTCTGTTAAGATTTCATCAGCAATGGGACATAGTAGAAAGAGCACAGACTTTGGCTATTTATCCTCAGAAACACCTTGATTTGAATTTCAGTCCATCCTATTTGGGCATTAACTAACTTCTTAATTTCTGCATTGATAAACTGGAGATAAATAACAATAACAGCATACAGAGATAATAATATCACCAGCCTGTGATATAAAGGAGAACCCATACTCCAGTAACATGGCTCTCACCTCTACCTCCAATAGCATGTTCCTATCTATATAAATAAAAGCCTAAGTTACCGTTACAACTGAACAACCAGAACAACCAGTTGACCAGTCACTATGACACACACTGACCATCAGGGGGCTGGTGGTCAGTACACTCCCACAGCGGAAGTGCCACTCAGCCAGAAGCCAGGCTTACAGCTGGTGAGCACAGCTGAGGCGGTAGGAGCCTCTCCCACCTCTGCGGCAGCAGGTCTGGCATGAGCGGCAGTGGAGCTGCACCCAGCCCTGGCTGGGGGTCCCTCCCGGCCGCCTGCCTCTTTGGCACTGCTACATCCCAAAGGGGGATGTCAGACTGCTGGGTTTTGGCCCAATCCCTGAAACCTGGCAGTCCAACATCCCCCAAGGGGTCCCAGATTGCGAGAGGGTGCAGGCTAGGCTGAGGGACCCCACCTGTGCACAAATCTGTGCACCAGGCCTCCAGTGTCACTATACTGAAACTGCGATATTTTTCCCAATTTGTTGCTTGCCTCATACGTTTGCTTATGGTGATTTTTAGAACTTTTTTCAATTACACTATTATATTAGTTTCAGGTGTACAACATAGCAATTAGACATTTATATAACTTATGAAGTGGTACCCATCTGACACTTATGGTGTTTTTGATACATACTTTTAGTAATAAAAAAAATAAAACCAGAAAATATAAGATAAATATTTAATGGATTTCAAAATTAGGAAGTCTTTTCAAAGCATAATAGCATTGGAAGAAACAAAAAGGAAATTGCTTTTATATAATCCCTGCCCAAATAAAGCTAATATCCTAGCTATGCTCACCTGTGTACTCTTCCAGATAAATTTTAGAATAATTTTGCTGTCATTCCCCTTAAAAATCATATTAATAGCCCTGACCAGTTTGGCTCAGTGGATAGAGCATTGGCTTGCGGACTGAAAGGTCCCAGGTTCGATTCCGGTCAAGGGCATGTACCTCGGTTGCGGGCACATCCCCAGTAGGGGGTGGTCAGGAGGCAGCTGATCGATGTTTCTCTCTCATGGATGTTTCTAGCGCTCTATTCCTCTCCCTTCCTCTCTGAAAATAATCAATAAAATATACTTTAAAAAATCATATTAATACTTTGACTAGATCATGGTAAACTTAAGTAGCACAGTGATCCAAGCTGAAGCCAAGGCCTTTACCAGGAAAGCAAAAGTTTTTCCAGAAACCCCTAGCAAACTTCTACCTAAATAACATTACCCAAAACTGTCAAATACATGACTACCCTCCCCTACAAAGGAGGCTATGAAATGGTATCTAGTTTCCATCCTCTAGAATGGAGGTGGGAGAAGGGAAAAGAGAATGAACGTTGAGTGAACCTACCTGTTAGGGTCTGCTACACAGCCACCATGAAAGAGGGATCAGGGCAGGAGCTGCAGAAGCTGTTTCTGTGAGCACCTGTAGCAGGCTGGTCACAAGGAGTGTTGCTGTGGGATCCAGGCAACACGGTGCACACTGCATAGGAGGTCACTGTCCCTCTTTGCTGCAGACAGCCAAGCAGGTTTGACACTTTGAGGAGCAACCGCCAGGAAAAGGGTCTATGCGTTACAGATCAAAGAGTCTGGAGCAGCCAGCAGAGTAGTGGTCTTGTGAGAGGCCCTCTCAAATGCCTGTGGGTATTGCATCTTTGGGCAAATGCTGTTGGTTGCCTGCCCAACAGCTATGTTGCCTTCATCATCACTAACAGAAGTGCACTTTTGTTCTGGCAGCCATGGTTCCAGCCAACTGGATGAATCAAATCTCATCAAAGTCCGTTCTGGCAGCTGCAGTCCCGCTGGGCCAATGATTGGCCTGGAGGTGGGCACTGTGACCCAGCTTTGGCCAATGAGATATAAGAGGGAGTAGGCTGCAGATGGTTCTGCCCCTTCTTCCGACTTTGAACATGGTTATGTATAAATATTACGATTGGAGCTGTCTTTTTTCCGACTTGCATCCACAAGGAAACAGGCTGGGGACAAAAAGCAGGTTTCCCAGGTTTGCAAGAGTGGAAACATAGAAAGAGCCTGGGTCCTTGATACTGTGAATACGAGAATGCAAAACACCTGGATCTGCCCGCCTCGTGGCTAATGATGGAGACAATCAAACGTCTTTATTGTTTAAACCACTGTTGATGGAGGGGTTTTATTTCTTGCAGCTGAAAGCATTTCTAACTGATACAGCCCTTAAAAAAGATCAGAGCAGAACATTGTGAGTTGGCTTAATCTTGAGTGAAGAGGCAGATGTCAATACAAGCTAATGAGCTGGCAAAATCTGGGTATTCCTGTGAATGTGACCTCTTCCTAATACCCACAGGCAATGAGGCCTAGACGAGTCAAGTTGTAAGTAAAAAACAATTAGAGAAGTGACATTTTTATTCAATACAGTCTTCCCTTTTAGAAAGATAATGTATTTCTTTAGAAAGATGTAAATTATTTACATCTCTGCTATCCCTAAGCTTTATATATCCTGTCATATGTGCCCCACCTATTTCTTGTTAGGGTTAGTCTCAGGTATTCTACGTTTGGGGCTGCTATCTCTTGAATTGCCCTGAATGATACTCCTCTGCCACCCCTCCCCCAACTCCTACTCCAAGCTGTTCTTTTTTCATTTTAGGCAAATACACTTAACTTCCCAGGTACATAGACCCTTACCTCAACTGTGTTTTGGAGGTCATCCATCCCTGATTGACAGTTAAAGGTAACATTTGGAATCCAGAGAGCTTGAGGTTAAAACATGTCATGTCAGCAATTGCTAAACAACAGTATGTCAGATTAGGTCAAGAATTTGTGAAATGTTTGTGCCAAGTGAAATGTCAAAGCACAAAGTGTGTGAAAGAAAAAAATCTCTGTGCCAGTCAAAATGTCATTCCGTTCTGGAGCAAGTAATTTATTCCTTTCTGACTTTCTTGCCATTCGTGTTTCACACGAATTAATGTTGCCTCTAAATAATTAAAATTAATAGTGGCATTATCAGCAGTTAAGGGTAAAAACTAAAGACCTAATTTAGAATCACTCAGTCAATTTGGACTCATTTTGAAAATGGGATTTGTGCCGAACCGGTTTGGCTCAGTGGATAGAGCGTCGGCCTGCCGACTCGGGGGTCCTGGGTTCGATTCCGGTCAAGGGCATGTACGCTGGTTGCGGGCACGTCCCCAGTGGGGGGCATGCAGGAGGCAGCTGATCCATCTCTCTCATCGATGTTTCTAACTCTCTATCCCTCTCCCTTCTTCTCTGTAAAAAATCAATAAAATATATAAAAAAAAAATAATTTGAACTTTTTAAAAAAAAAAGAAAATGGGATTTGTAAACCCAACCTTAAAAATAAGCCCTTAACTGATTGTCCAAACCATTTACATTGCAGCCATTATTTGTTCTCTTAATGTTTGTAATATGTTAAAAAAAAAAAAAAAAAAGACACATCATAGAGAATATACATTCTCTAAATGCAGTATCTGAGGAGTTGCAAAAAGATAGAAATGCTATAGATGTGATCAATAGATCCAATTAGCCCTCAACAAATGGGATGCCAGTGGCGTGTTGAGTTGATTATGAAGCAAAACTCCATAATGTTCGTCTACATTTTCCCACTGGTTTTAATTTCTAGATTGGCATAGCTTCCCGAACATGGCTCCTCTCCATGCCATTTGCTTTCTCTGAAATCAACTTTCTGTTGCACAGTCATGGCCAGACGGTGGGGAACTGGTCCTGCTCTTAATGCTCCAGCTGCCTGGTTAATAAACCAAAACACTTCTCTCTAGGCAGCAAGGCCAGGACTAGGGTGAGGCAATCCTAGTGCCCAGAGCACAACATATCAGGAGGCCTTTGTTCTCAGGTTCTCACCCTGTACTTACAAGGCCCTGAATGTGAGCGCTTTCTTAAATATTGTACCCTAGGCACCTCACTTGCCTCATCCCTGTCCCGGCCCTGATAGGCATTGTTGCTGCCCTTGGAATTGAAGAAAAGAACTTCAAAGTAAAGAACTCTATAAATCTTCTGACAGTGAGAACTGGTTTTCTATCCCAGGATATTCATTCTCCATATTAGAAATTTTACAATCTGAGTTTGAAGAGTAATAAGATGCACGTACTGCTAAGGAGAGTCTACTTCATGGCCCAGAATGGGCTCAACAGTGTGAAAGGACAATGTGGGACCACCATGTCCCAGAGTTTGTGCCTCAAGTTTTCAGGTTTGGAGCTCAACTTTATCAGCACAAAGAGAGATGGTCAGATTAAGGAAAATTGGTGAGAGAATTACAAATAATCCAGAAACCAAATTTACTGGAGTTGTGGATATTTTCCAGTGACAATGTCCTAGTGTTCAATGTTCAGGAACACTCCTCCCTATAGTGAGGGGATGTGGAACAAAGTGTTAGTCATCAGATGGCTGCAAATGAGCAAGGAAAGAGAAGGGGGGCGGGGAGGGGGGGTGTGAATGACAGCGATGTTTCATCCAGACCAGGGAAAAGTCCTCCCTCACCCCAGAATACTCAGTGTATCCATTGACTCAACAAATATAAATTGTGCACCCAATGTGCTCAGCAAACCTGTCAGTTCTTCTTCAAAATGAATTCTAAATCCAGCACTTCCTGCCACCTCCACAGTCACTACCAAATTCAAGCACCATCTTTCCACACCTGAACTGATGGCATAGACTCCCTAACTGGTCTTCCCATTTCCACTCTCTCCCCACTACAGTCCATCCTTCACCAAGATTTCAGGCTGATCCTATTAAAATGTAAGTCAGATCATGATGGACCTCTGCTCAAAACCCTCCATTGGCTTCCTGCCTGTTAGAATAAAATCCAAAATCCCTTTCTTGGGCTACAAAGCCTACATGATCTCACCCCAGCTCTCTCAATGATCTCATTTCATGCCACTGTCCACCTCACTCATTCCACGCTCGCCACAGGCTCTTTCATCCTGCTCCTGGGACACCCCAAGAATGCTTTTGCCTCAGGACCTCTGCACACCCCCCTCCTGCTGGAATGATTTATTCCCAGATATCTGCATGGTTGAGTCTGCTTCATGCTTAAATGTCTACACTTAAATGTCACCTCTCGCAGAAGCTTCCATGACCACCCGATCTAAAACAGCCTCCTTCCATCACTTTCTGTCCCCTTCCCCAAAAGTATTTGTCTTCAATCATCTGACAAGTTTTCTGTCTCCTTCCAGCAAAAAGTAATCTCCATGACATTTTGCCTGTTTTTGCTCATTGCTATATCCTTCGCACCTAGAACATTGCCGGGAACATCGTAAATGCTACAAATAAATTTGCTGGAGGGTGAATGCAACTAGGTTACGTAATAATTCTGGTCACTAGAGGGGAGTATTCTTTGATGATGCAGGACTTTTCTCTGGCCTGGATGAAATAGCCTTTTCAGACTCTTGATCTCCCTTTGCTTTCTGATAGAGCAGATGAGGTTTGTAAAAGAAAAGGAGAGATTAAGGTAAAACCAATATTTTTAGCATGAGCTAATGGAAGAATGGAGTTCCATTTATTGAGTCATGGGCAACTATGGGAGGGAGAAGTTTGGAAGGTTTGGGTCTGAAAATCGACAGTTTCTTTTTTTAACATATCATTTTTAAGATGCCCATTATTGGATATCCAGTGGAGATATCAATTAGGCAATCCTATATAATAAAAGCCTAATATGCCAATTGTCCCCTTGACAAGGAGTTTGAATGCTCGCTACATGCCCTGATCACCAGGGGGTGGCATGGAACATGGTGGGTGTTGGCGACGCAGCACTGGTAGCGGCAGCAGTGGAGGTGCTGCCTGCCCCAATGGGCCCCGACAAGAGCAGGACCACGGGATGGTGGAGCAGGTGAGCAGGCAGTGCCAGGTCAAGGTGGTGCCAGTGGGGCCTGATCGCCCCGCCAATCACCCTGCAGATGGCGATCAGCAGCAGTGGCGGGGGTGCTGAGGGAGCCTGGCGGGGCCCGATGACTCAGGAGGAGGGGGACACCCAGGAGCCCAGGGGCCCAGGTGCTACCCAGGGCCCAGAGGTCAACTGGGACCTGCCCTTTCACACCAGACGTTCATGCTTCTATTCCTGGTCAGGCCTAGGGACGGCACCTGTGCATGAATTTCTGCACCGGGATTCTAGTTATATATAAGAGTCTGTACTTCAGGGGAGAGGTCCAGGCAGGGTATTTGGCAGCATATGGAAGGTGTTTTAAGTCATGGAACTGTTTGGAGTGCCCCCCCTGGGGGGCACAGGGGGCCTGAGTATAGACAGAGAAGAGTAGAATTCTGAGGACTAAATGGTGGGACATTCCAGCATTTAGAATTTAGGAAGATGAGAAAACACCAGTGAAAGCCACTGTAAAGGGTAGCAGAGGGAAAAAAGGTAACAGTTGAAGAAGAATAGGGGCCCAGGAAGGATTTTTTTAATATGAGAAATATTATATATATATATGTAATCCTCACCCAAGGATATTTTTTCCACTGATCTTTAGAGAGAGAGTGGAAGAGAGGAAGGAGGGAGAGAGAGAGAGAAACCTCAAAGTGAGAGAGACACATCAACTGGTTGCCTCCCTCATGCCCCTCCCCCTCCCCCATCCCGACCCAGGCCGGGGGTCAGCCTGCAACCGAGGTATGTGCCGTTGACAGAGAATCAAATACCGACCCTTAGGTCATGAGCCGATGCTCTAACCACTGAGCAAAACCAGCCAGGGCATATTATTGTATATTTGATGCAATGGAAATGATCCAGTGAAAAGGGAAAATTTAATGACATAGGATGATGGACAAGTGAGGCGAAGTTCAGAGTAGGGAAAAGTGGCTGGATCCAGTGCAGAGATGGTGGGACTGCCATTCGATAGAAGCACAGACAGTTCACCGATAATAACAGGAGGCAAGTCAGAGTCTATGTGCACAGATGCCAGAAGGCAGGTGGATGTGGTGGTAGGGGCTCATGAAAGTGCTTTTCTGGTTGCTTCTATTTTCGCAGTGCAATAATGGATTGGAGGTATCAGTGCTATGTGAGAATTGGGGAATCTGATGTTCAGAGGAATATATTGGGTAGAAGTGAGAGAGTAGGACGTTTGGAATTCTATGGGTTTTTGGTGTGTTTTTTTTGTGGGGAGTGAAATTGTTGAAATGGGACTGGGTTGAGGGTATGGCAATAGGAGCAAATTAAAATGGGAATGGGGACAAGATTACACATGAGA